TACGAGGTATATTAGCATGAAGCAATAGCAAAGCGTTTTCTAAAACTTCGTGAAAATTTTTGAGTCCGGCCCAACGACGAAAAGTTGAGGTCCGAGTACGGCCCGGCCCTTTTCAATTGTTTACGGCCTTCTGTATCCTTAATACTGACTGATAGCTTTGATTAACAGACTGGTATAAATATGCTTGTAACACAACTCTATCATTATATTTACATGATTTTTTGTTCTTACTTCTTCAACGTTTGTATGCACTAGATAAACCTATTTATTCAGTGACATATTAGAAAAAGAAACATAAATATTACAATATTTATCAGGAACATGTTTATACTAAACATACTGATTTTACTGATGTATCAAACATAAAGGCTGGCTACACGCAAGATAAAGTGGTATTAATAGACTGCTCTTTCTGTTATGCTACCCAAAATAAGTCCTCGGCCCGGCTTTTCGAGAAAAATATAGTGTTTGCACACTTCTAAGAAAGAAAGAAAACGCAGCAAATTTAAGCGTGCATGGTAAGTGTAGTATACTACAAAGTCTACGTTATATAAAAAATAGTAAAGACAATCAACTAAGTTAGAAGAATACATTTGAAAAAGCTAAAGTAATATTGTCTTCTCAGTTTTCCTTCAGCGTTTACTTTTCGTTCGACATGTAAATTTTTGTATCTTGCCGGCAGAAATATTCCAAAATTTTTTGAAATCCAATTGTTTGTTCGTTGCACAAACAGGGACATCGCTTTGTGTACAAACGTCGGTTTGTTGAGGAAATAACATGAAATTCATGTGGAGTAACATCTGTTTCTTCGGGGAAAAGTGTGAAGTTCTTGTAGATAAACATTAGCTTCGTCAGGAATAAAGCATGAAGTTGATATGGAGAAACGTCGGTTTCTTGAGGAACTAGCAGGAAGTTCTTGTGGAGAAATATGCGTTGTTTTACGAGAAAATATAAGGTTCATCTGGACAAACATCGCTTCAGGAAATAACATGAAGTTCATGTGTAGTAACATCGCTTTCTTCAGGAAAAAACACCAAGGTCCTGTAGAGAAACATAGGTTTCTTGAGGAACTGGCGAGAAGTTCTTGTGGATAAGCATGGGTTTCCTCACGAAAGAATATGAGGTTCATGCGGGCTACCATCGGTTTCTTCATTTTAGAAACATGAAGTTCATGCGTAGAGACATCGCTTCCTTTAGGAAGTAGTATGAAGTTAACGTGGAGTAACATCGGTTTGTTGAGGAAATAACAAGAAATTCATGCGGAGTAACATCGGTTTCTTCAGAAAAAATATAAGGTTCATATGTAGAGACATCGCTTCGTTTAAGAAGTAGGATGAAGTTTACGTGGAGTAGGATCGGTTTCTTGAGGAAAAAATACTAGGTTCATGTATAGAGCCATCGCTTCCTTAAGGAAGTAGGATGAAGTTTACGTGGAGTAAGACCGGTTTCCTCACGAAATAACACGAAATTCATGTGGAGTAACATCAGTTTCTTCGGGGAAAAATATGAAGTTCTTGTAGATAAACATCGACTTCTTCAGGAAAAAACATGAGGTTCTCATGGAGAAACATGGATTTCTTCAGGAAAACCCATGAAGTTTTCGTGCAGAAACATGGGTTTCGTCAGGGATAAACATGAAGTTCTCGTGGAGAAACATCGATTACCTCAGGTAAAAGCATGAAGTTCACGTGTTGAAAGATGGATTTTTACTCGAGAAAACATGAAGTTCTTCTGGAGAAACATCGCTTTGTTCAGGACGAAAGATGAAGTTCTCGTGGAGAAGCATCAATTTCCTCAGGAAAAAACCTCACGTTTTCGTGGTGAAACACCGATTCCTTCAGGAAAAAACATGAAGTTCTCGTGGATAAACATCGGTGTTTTGCGGAATAAACGTGAGGATCTCGTGGAGAAACATCCATTTCATCAGGGAGAAACATGCAGATCAGGTAGTGAAACATAGACGTTTACTCCGGAAATCAAAAAACCTGAAATTCTTCTCGAGAGACATCGATTATTTCAGGAATAAGTTCTCATGGAGAAACATCGATTACCTCAGGGAAAAGTAATAACGTCAAAGTAGTCAAAATAGGCAAAGTAGTCACTATTGTGACTATTTTGACTATTGAGATTATACAAAAAGTTAATCGTACTACTGCGAATATGCAGTATTCGGTCCCGCTTAATTTTTATTTGTCGATTTTTAGGAAAAACAGGAAATTCCATCAATTCAACAGAGAAACGTGTGCCATAATTATGAAACAACGGTTTTCCCTTCCTTTTAAATTTCTGACAGCAGTTGAAAGTGGTGTATTTCATATGAAGATGCCTGATTTTTACCAAAATAGATAGTTAGTGATGCTGATTACGGTAGAACCGTTATTTGTCAGGAAGAAACATGAATGTCTGCCACACTTCCAGCGTATGTCTCTACGTCACATTAACAAAATAAGAACATCATATAGAAGGAACACTATTATGTCTCGTTTTGAAATGAGAATGACAAAAATACAGAATACGCACATGTCTGCTGTATACATACATATAGTCGTATAAAAATATAATTTAAAGATATGTATCGTATCACCATTTCAGGCATGAAAAAAGTAAGAAAATATCTATTCTCCCACAAGATGCGCGAGCATTTTCAGGCATTTGACATAATAGAATGAAGAAGAAAAAAGCAGCACACAATGGGCAACCATGTGGACATTAGGTGGAAAAACGAAAGTGGACTTTTGGCAAGTTCAAATAGCAGAACATATACTTCGGCAAACGCTCTATCTTTTTGTTATTGGAAGTTTTTTTCTAGGTGTCATAATTAGCGACAAAATCGCTAAGCAAATTTTTGTCGTAAAACAGAGCTATAATGATACAAAAATGATTTCCGGCAAAACAGAGAATGATATTTGCAAATTTTATACATAGTACAAAACTAGACCTTCCAGTCCATCTATTCATTAAAAAAATTTTTTTCTAGGACGCTTTATCACCGAGAAAAAAAGTTTTGTGTTCGGTGCTAAGTGGTTACCAAAGAGCAGACCTCAGTATAGTCAGTTTCCGATTTTTTTCGAAGCTCCAAATGCAATGAAATTTTTACAGAAGATGCGTCTACTAACGATATATCTATGCTGTTAGCCCAAAATAACTCAAATGCTCGTGAGCTGAGTTATAGGTGTTCCAAAACCCTCGGTTTTTCAGCTATTTTGCGATCTTCTCAACTCAGAATCACTTGTATTGAAAAATAAGGTCAGATTCAGAATCAACGTAAAAAGCTGCGTCGATGGTGTATAATTTATTTGGTCTCGGACGCATACTTTTGAATTTGCTGGAATTCTAAGATTTTGCCGTGTGGATATGTAGAGAAAATTTTGATTGAATTTTGAAAATTTGAATTAAAAAGAAGACAAAAGCTTTTAAACACTCTTATTATAGGTTTTCCACGATGCTCTTTCCAATGAAATGGTTTTTGAGTTTTGAAACGGTTTTCCAAGTGGTTTTTCAGAGACCGGATCTCTGGAAAACCTCATAAAAACAGCTCCAAAACCTAAAAACCATTCCGTTGGAAAGAGCATTGTGGATAACCTATAGAAAATGTTTTCATACATTTTTACTGCTTAAAAAGCTGATGTTCACGTGCTCACCCAGAATTGTCCACTGTGCAGCATCATCTAACTTTTCTGGTTATGAGTACTCCAGGGAGAATAATGCATAGAGAGTAAAAAAAAATTTTTTTTTTGAAAGTAAGATTTCTATCAGACATATAAGTTTTAGCATTACAAAATCATACTATTTAGTCTAAGTACCGTTAATACACCGGCGGTCAATGCTGATAACAGTACAGCTAAACAGAATCGAAAAAATAGAGAAGAGGTTTCTTGTAGTTAAACTTGATCCGCTATTTTCCGCTTAAAACAAAAAAATTGAGAATTCACCACTACTTTACATCGAAACCAGAATGATTCTCTTTGACATTCATTCATAACTTCCGATTCTTCACGCGTCAGACGAAACTATAATTAACAAGTGAGACTATAGCAGCTTTAATAGAGAAGCACAGGAAATACTCACTTACTTCGGGTGTTCCTGATGTGTTAGGATTTTGTCTGACTATAGTTTTCTTTTATTTTATGATCTAATTTGCATTCATGTAATAGAGAAGTTATAAATAAATAAATTTAAAGAACGTTCATTTTTCCTGTGAATTATGTTTAGTTAACAAATAACTTACAGTCTAGAATAAAAAACTGGTCGAGGCGAGACTATATTTCACTTTTTGAAAAAATCACAAGTAGTCAGTGGAGCAACATGCAATGAATATGCCCAGCAATAATGAATTGCAAAATGCGCCTTCCTTCAAATTCACCGTAGATAAGTTCACCTCCAAAAGCAAATTCACAGAAAGCATGGTTGCCATCTTTCTTAGGGAGCAGCATTCGAACTGTATAACTTTTTCGGAGATTACAGCATCTTCTCGAGCAGGAGTGGTAAGCTCTGAAAATTTAAAAAAGGTTAAATGGATTCGATTATCCGTAAGAGTTTGAGTAAATGGTAATCTCGATTCTTCTAAAAAATGATCTTAGAATTCCTAATTTATATATCTTATAATCTGCAGTAATAAAAAAGAGTACAATCACACATAAAAAGACAATTACACAAAAAAACAGGAAAGAACATGTGAGATTATAGTTGATTTCTAAAGAATCAGATGGTATCACACGAACAAATTAGAAGTTGACGTAAAAGGAAAGAAAAAAATGATGCATTTATTATCTTTCTGCAGCTTTGAAGAGTGCACATAACAGAAAAGAACTAATTGGTCAGTGTTGACAGCGAGAGATCAAAAATGCGCAAGCAACTTTTTCAAAAAAGTAAAACGCAATCAATTCCTCAAATCAGGTTACGTTGCAGTACACAACGACACAAACATAGAAGTGACTTATGAAGTTCCTATGAGCGTTCTGCATATAGAAGCAAAACAAAATTTAGAGAACAGCTTACTTTCAAAATTTTTCATTGTATCTATCATCTGAATTTAACGAAACACGATCACTATCATCTTCATAAGCACTGCTACTGGTAACACTATCATAACCACCGGTAAATTTTGATGCCGATTTTCTTTTCTTATTTCGTTTTACTGTGGATTTTCGTTTTTTGTTTCGTTTAACTACGCCACCAGCTTCAAGTTTTAAGTCTGTAATAGTTTTCAAATCAGATGCAAATAATTTGTTAATGGATTCATCCGTGATTTCTCGAGATGGTGTAAATTCAAGAAAATATACAGTATCTATAATGAGTAATTTTTTGTCCAGATAAGTTACTGAATGATAAATTGCATCGATTACCGACCCACATAGAAATCTTTCGACAGCTTTACCACTTTCACCCGTAAGAGCATGAGTAGCCGGTGTTCCAAACTTTATATTAAGATCGTTTTCAGTTGGTAGATATAATCTTCCGTGTTCAAAATTAGCGGCATGAGCAATTTCATGAAAAAGTTTAATTACTAAAAATAAAATTCTTCTTCGAACAGAGATATGTTGTACGTTATCTTCATGCTTCATTATTCCATTAATGAGACTATCCGATAGGTTAACTGTATCATTAGAAGGATCAGTTGATTTTTTATCAAAAGCGAAACTGGACCATTCATCAGCTAGTTCTTTAACATCAAAAGTTAATTTTGGTAAAAGATGATGGAAAAACTTTCGAATGTCATGTACACGTGTTAATGAATATTGTTTATCAAAAATGTTTACTGTTCGTAAATCTCGTATACAATGATGTGAAAAATATACAATCAAATTGTCATTTTCTAGAATATCTTCAATCATATTAACTGCTGTCATAAAAGATTTGCAGTTTAATAATTTGGTTGCAAATTTTGTTTGGTTGAAATATTGAAGTGCCTGTTAAAAAAGAAATAAGCAGCAAAATCAGAAGAACATTTTATTAGATAAAAAAACTGTTTTTTCTCAAATTAGCGACAAAAATCCTCTTACTTGAGTAGTTGGTGAGATTGTAGTGGGTTGAACTGTATCAGTTACATTCGTTTCATATTCTGGTGAAGATTTTGTATCCATATCTAATCTACACAAGAAAATAAAACATACAATACAAGTGTGCTACGTGCAGGTTAGGCATCCACACACTCAATGCCTGCGAAAACAAGTACTTATTTCACGTAGGGAACACGCCACTATCCTGGCTCTCCTTCTTAGCAGTACATCATCATAAAAAGAGAGGAAAACATTTTAAAATTAGAGTGAACCCTCTCTTCTGAAGATAACTACCATGCGTTCCAAGATACAATGGTCTCGGATATTTTTCGAATAACTTTTCACAGAAATGAGATAGAGACCTGCGGTTTTCACTATTGAATAGCCAAGACCTTATGACATAAGTAGGAGGAAAACCCCTGTCCGGTACGCCACCTGCAGGTGATAGACCATTTGAATCTTTAAAACACAAGGTTATCAGAGAAAGAAAAAAAAGTTTTCTTTCCGTTCTGTTATGGGTTCGAACCACTAGACCTTCCTCTGCAAATCCACATAGGTTCCACTTTCCCAACTTTTTCTGTTTCTGAACTGGAGCGGATCTCCGAGGACCATCCTAACTCATGCTTTTTTAAGTTTTATACTCGTGTAAATACTTCACATATAGGTTATCGACTATGCTGATTCTCGTGGCAATGTTAGTTTTCAGAACAAAATGCAACAACCGAGTGAAAACCTATACTAGGTGAAATAGCCCATTTTTGATTATTTTCATCAAAAATTAAAAAATTGATAATTCAGTCAAAATCCGATCCAATCTACTTCAGAATGTCAGAAAATACTCTATTTTATCTGCAGCATACCATAAAGCTTAATAAAATGTTGAAAAAACCAACAGAAAATACTTTGGTTTCTAGAAAGGTTTCCCAGAAACCTTCGGAACTAAGAGAATTTTTTTATTGATTTTACGTACAGAATCAGAATCAGCGGATAAAATAG